TATATATATATATATATATATATATATAATATGGCATATAATATATAGCCATATATTATATGTATATGTTGTATTTTATAGATAGATAGATGTTTGTTTTGTTTTCTTTTTCAATGCTTCTAAGATGTTCTAGTAGCTGATGCTGAGACTTGACAGAAACAAAGCCCAGGCCCAGGCTCTGAGATGAAGTCTGTCAGAGAGTTGTGTGCTCAGATTTTAGATGCTGCTCTACATATTAGAGAGTCACTCTCCATTCATTCAGAAGAACAATTTCTCATTGGACCATGTGGTTTCTGCCAAGGAAAATGACTGTAGCAGCTGACTCAGAACAGGTCAGCTGACCTGCATGTTACCTCAGACATGTCCTATAAATAGATCCAGCATGTGCCAAGGGACCATCATCCTTAGAGATTCAGATTTTCACACTAAGATGACCATCACTAAACTAGCTGAGGGACTTCTAGTGAAGCATGGCCCTCTCTGCCCTGAGCCTCTGAGCTGCAGGAGAGACTTGCCCATGTGGCACCCAGCAGCACTGAAATGCCACATTCACACCTATGCACCATGCTGCTACCACTTTCCACACTGCAAAAGGAAAAGACTCAGTGCTGGCCACATCAACTGGGTTTTGCTATAGAAAATAAAGTGTCCCTTTGTTTTTCACTGCCTTATTTAGTGATTTCTTTCTTATACAGGGGTCTAATTCTGGAATATACCTCCATGGAAATAAAAGCAAGGCAATCTCAAATGATAAATCTCTAAAATGATTTTAAAGCATGTATTCATATATGTGTGTGTGAGAGAGAGAGAGTGAAAGAGAAAAAGAGAGGGAGGAGAGAAGTGAGAGATAGATGTTTGTGAGAGGTATAGACCTGGGGTCCTAATGATGCCCTGCTTCTCATTAGCCATGTGCTAATACAGATAAAACCATCTTTCTTACCCTAGAGATACAATAACAATCAATGAAAGAAGTGTGGGAAAGAATTCGTAAGTTATTATAGTGCAAATAAAGCCATGCTTTTAACTTCGTCTTATACACAAAAGGGGTTCTTGCAATCGGGGAGGAGGAAATGCTCTCCCTTCAATAGGCCTTTTTATTAATCCCTATGATGACACAGACCCATCAGGACAGGCTCTAGGGACAGACTCTAGTGTGAGTTTTGACAGGGTGGCACTTGGGGTCATCCCTACATTCTTACCTCCCAGCACAGCAGTGAGACAGAGAGAGACACATTTGCAGAATGAGCCAATGAGACATAGTTCCTGTCTCAACTGAACTTAAAGGTGCCTGTGGTGGGATGAATGTCCCCCAAGGCCTAAATGTAAAGGCTTGAGGGCCAGATTGGTGCTACTGGAGGTGATGGGGCCTTAGGAAGGTGAAACTCCACGTGTGTGGAGTGGGGGGTTTCTCACTGGGGTTCCAAAACATACTTTTGCCTCCACGTGCTGCCTTTGTAGATGCCCCCGAACTAACTGGGCTACCTGATCTTGGATCTGAACTCCCAAACTGTACACTAAATAAATCTTTTCTCTTTATAAGTTAATTGCCTCAGCCACTTAATTGTACTACCACCAAACTGACTAATACAATGTCTCCATTGTGAAGGAAAATTTTTATATTAAATCATGAGCAGTCAGGGAAGAAGAATAGATATTGATAGTTTCTGCAAAGGTCCAGTCATTACGGATTTTGAGGGCTGCCACTGATGTTAATGCGAAGTAGATATTATTTTTAACAATAAAATTCAAAGGATGAAAATGTTTAGCTTAAGTATATAAAAAATATCAAACACTATCAACCACAGGCAAGAGATGTGCTGTGGTCACATATAGTACATTTGTTAGGTGTTTTTAAATGGTCCATGTCAGAGAACTCATTATTCCTGACAACTCAGTGTTGATGATTGACAACACAAGGTATGTATCTTCCTACCACTTGGGTCCCAAGAATCATTCTATTAAACAGGAATGATGGGGGTGAGGTAATGAGCAATCTATAAAAATTTACATTGCCTCCAGACTGCAAGGTTAGGCAATTGTTTCAGTGGCAAGTTTGATTACCTTAACTGGTCAGCAAACAGTCTGCAGTTTTACATACCTAAAATTGAGCATTAACTTGGAAGAAAAAAAATCTACAGATTACCTAATAATAAATGCAGACATGAATATATAATGTTTTCCCGTATTATATCAGTTCAGCAAAGTCATGCCTAATTTATGAATTCCATTTAGTAAAAGGGAATTATGGTGATGGAGTCAAGTGATAATTGTGTATAATCCACTATCATCAGGAGATTTCTTTCTCAGCAGCAAGATCAAGAGTAATAAAGGTAAAACGGCATCATTTTCATTTATGAAAAGAATCAGCACTATTACAATGTCTTATCAAGTTTGGCCTACTTACAACATTTCATTTTAGGTTCAGAACAGGCATTCAGGGACTAGAAATAAGCTAGCATGAAGTATCCATTCCAAGAACACTTTTTGGTGGGTTGAGAGTGAAGCTTAGTGGTAGCACACTTGCCTAACATGTGCAAGGCCCTGGGTTTCACCCCAGACACACACACACACACACACACACACACACACACACACACACACACACACACACACCTAATGAATTAATTGATTAACATAAAAATTCTCTTTTGGTTTCAGGATCCCTTTATATACTTAAAAATAAATCCAAAGAGCTTTGATTCATGTGCATTATAATACCAGTATTTAATATAAGAAAAATTTGAAAACAAATGGCATATTTTTATACTTTTTATTGTTTTTATGCCCATCCTGGGGCTTGAACTCAAGGCCTGGGCACGCTGTCCCTGAGGTTCTTTGTTCAAGGCTAGTGTTCTACCACTTATGCCACGGCTCTACTTCTGGCTTTTTGGTGGTTAACTGGAGATGGGTCTCATGGACTTTCCTGCCCAGGCTGGCTTTGAACTGCGATCATCAGATTTCAACTTGATGAGCAGGTAGAATTACAGGCATGAGCCACTAGCACTTGGCTAATAACATATTTTTTATTTTAAAAAAGTAATGATATCCTCTAATACAACAACAAAATTATAAAAATAATGGTATCAGTTTACTTTTTAAAAAATCATTAATGTTTGCTTAACAAAACCTACAGTTGAAACTGAAGGACTCAAATAGTAGAGTTCCGGCCATGAGTGAGAAAGCAGAGCGAGAGCACAAGACCCTGAATTCAAGCCCTGGTATCAGCACAAAAACAACAGCAAATAGGGTACCTTATTTGCTTCTGTATTCAGTTTGCGGAGATGGACTTTTTTTAGCTGAAATACATGAAGAGAACCCAGCCTCACAAGTAGAAAAAGATGACACGTATTTTTCCTTTACTACTACACCAAAACTCAACATAAACTTTAAAAGCTTAGAAGCTGAACCTTCCTTCAGTGAACTTTTCATGCTGTTACTTTAAAATGCACTGGTGTATGTGGGGCTTAGACTGTCCTCACTCATGATTATATAACAGCAGGCATCAGCTATTTGAAAAACATTGTTCTCTGAGGCTACATATCTTCCCACATTGACATATTTCCTTATACAATATGATATATATGAAAAGAGTATAATGAAATTCATTAAAAATTATTTAAAAAGGGAATGAGGGGAAAGCTGATTTGATCAAAGTACATTACACATGTGTATGGAAATATAATAAAAATCCTTTGTATGATCAGCATGTACTAATAAACGAAAAACACTCAGCTATGCATGGTGGTACACACCTGAAATCCAAGCTGCTCAGGAGGTGGAAGCAGAGGGATCCTGAATTTAAGGACAGGCCAAACTTGGACAAAGCTAGCAAGACCCTATCTCAAAACAAAAACACACGAAAAAAAAAACCACAAAAAACCCCACAAAAAACCTGAAAACTAAAAATAAATGGACTGAAAGTGTGGCTCAATTGGTAGAATGCTTCCCTAGAGTGCTCAAGGCTCTGAGTTCAATCCCCAGTCTCTGTCTTTGTCTCTGTTTCTTTCTCTGTCTGTCTGTCTCTCTCTCTCTCTCTCACACACACACACACACTCTCTCTCTCTCTCAATTCAGCTCACAATGCAAATGACCACACAGACTTTCCTTAGAGATGGCCACAGGGAGTGGAGTAGGTAGAAAGCAGAAGTGCTTTATGGCTGACAACCATTTGACGATGGAGAACATTAAGAAGTCACAAACACAAGAGTTGAGGCCTTGTTACATGACGAGGACATCCCTATGTGAAAGCACCTTGCCCTTACTGTGATTCTATGGCAGTAGTGTGGCTTGGGTGCACTGCCTGCATCCATGCTCATTTTAGCAGTTCCCCCATCCTTGCTTTTGTGCAAACATCACAGTAAAAACAAAAGGCAGCCAGCCTGTCTGTGTTCTTATGAAAACAGTCTTAACTCAGAGATGTCCTGAAAAGCTCTTGGGCACTTTGAGAACCACTGATCTGGAGTGCAGGCAGTTTTGAAGCAGGTGGGGTGTGGGTTCTGTTTTTGAGACTGGCTTGCTGTGCACTCTCAGACACATCACTTGACCTCTTTTGGCCTTAGCTGCTGCCTTAACAAAACAGAGATAAAGATGCTCATTTCATGGACCTACTGTGGAGATCACAGGAGGATGCAACAAGTGGCAGTGTACCCAGTGGGTGTTTCCTCTACATAAAATGGAGATTATCCTGTTCCACACACATGCCAGGGCCAACTGAAGTTCAATGATTGACGACCAGAAAAACTAACAATAAATGGGAAAATTGCTGTGCGAATGACACACAAATAACATCGATTTCATATGGCTATGAAAACAAGAGATTGGAAATCCTTTGGACAAATGTTCATCTTTCTACCAGTAAACATTTGTAAATTGTCTGGGTTTCTACAGGAATGGTAAACACTCTCCCAGAACCGTTTATTACTGCACTTGAGACCCTGCTGACTCCCTCCCACACTGCAGAAAGCCTTCAAGAGTGCTTTTCTTTGTCCTTTGTTCTCTACTGCACTGAGGTTGCACTCAACCTAATCTCTGCAATTTCAGACTTCTGCTCCAGCTGCTGGATCCCATCTGCTGTCCTTTCTCCAAGACACCTGTTTCAGGAAAGAGACAATTAAGGTGATGAACCAGTTCCTTGTAGAAAATGAAAATGTCCCATTTCCTTAGGAGTGCTAGGAAAGAGAAAAATGTTTAATAAAGCACAATTACACATCTAATTACCAGATGCCAAGCGTTTAACCAGAACGGATACTCTAATCTCTACATCTTGTTGTGCTCGGCTGAGACACTGTATTTGCCATCTACTGCTGGGTAACATTTCCACAGGTTCCAGTGGCTTAAAACAACACTCACTCGTTATGTCACAGTTGGGGGCATGAGAAGTCCAGGTATAACCTAACTGGGTCTCACCTACCAGGTCTGAGCGTCATACAAAGACTCAGCTTACTGTTTGTGTCATTTGGGGGAAGTTACTAGTAGTAGAACCATGAGCTTCAAGGTGCTGTCATGTTTTGTTCTGTTTTGATGTCTATCAGTGGAGACTGCCCTCAGCTCCTCAATTGAGCTTGGGGTCCCCAACAGGACTACCTGTTCCCTTATATCCAGCAAGGGTGCTACATTTTATGCACATAAATAACTGGCTTGTGGGTAAAGGCAAGTCATAGGCCCACCCGCACTCCAGAGGAGAGGATCATCTAAGTACATATGAGGGCTCATCTTGATGGTGGGCTTGACTGGATTGAGCAGGACCTAGGAGATTGATAAAGATCACCTTTGGGTGTGTCTGTGATGGTGAATTTCCACAGAGCACTAACGAGGGGGAAGAGACTCACCCTGCTGATGGACACCACCATTCCTTAGGGCTGGGGACCAAATGGGATACAAAGGGATAAAAGGAGATAGCCCACAAGGCAGGCATTCTCCCTCTCTCTGCTCCCTGGTCATGATGATGGGAGCTGCTCTGCTCTGCCAAGCCTCCTGCCACAATGAACTTGAACCTCTGAATATGTGAGCCAAAAGAAGCGCTTCTTCCCTGAGGTTGTTCTGCTAGGTTTTTCATTAGAGTGACTCATGTCTGCCTAACATGGGCACACACACAGCAGCCAGGAATCATGGGATCATGTGAGGAAAGTGTGTTTGCCACAGACATGCTGGGCAGGCAACATGGCTAATGGAGAACAGAGAGAAACTGAGCCTGGATTTCATGAACTTACTGATGGAAGAAGAGCACAGAACCACTATTAGTCTAAACCTGTACCTCCAGAGAGGCAGCAGATCCAGGCAGAACTGAGATAGAATAGGCTTGTAGGTCTGGTTAGTGGATTGGGTATAACTGTGAGTGTTTGCAGGCATGCACCATGAGCAGGTGACAGTGGTGTGACTAGGAAAGCTGTCAGAGACTCCCAATGAGTGGTTGGAATGTGGAGAAAATACAGGTCCCAGGAGGAGGTAGACAGACAAGAGACAAACTCAGTATCTGGACTACCTCTTGTACCGGGGATGGGAAGACTAATCTGAAAATGAAGCAAAAGCCCAGTCTCAAGGGCTAGGTGAGCAAGGATAGAAAAAGGGCCCAGGTACAAAGCTCAGGGGGCTTGGGAGGGTCTGGGCGTACCACTGCTTATGAGAGCAAGACTAATTCTAGATTCTACTATAAGTAACCCATGACCACTTTGCTCTAGAGACTTCCTTGATCAGGGACTGACAAAGAAGACAGATCAGCAAAGAAGACAGGAAATGGCTGGATAGTTTCCTATTGCTCAAGACATTGAGTGAAACCAAAATCCAGAGCCTGGTCTGAGCCACTGTCTAGTGGTGTCTCCAAGAACAGCCTGCCAGGTCCAGGACATGGTATGAACTGACATGGTCTCTGTTTTTATTCCTGCAATGTCCTGTCACCCTCGTCTCTGTTTGGGGAATTGCTATTCTCTTTCTAGGACTTGGTTCAAAGGCCACTTGGTTTTGTTTTGTTTTGTTTTTTTGGGGGGTCATAGGGCCTTGAACTCAGGGCCTGGGCACTGCCCCTAAGCTCTTTTGCTCAAGGGTAGTGCTCTACCACTTTAAGCCGCAGCTCCATGTCTGGTTTTTGAGTGGTTAATTGGAGATAAGAGTTTCACAGGGACTTTTCTGCCCAGACTGGCCTTTGAACAACAATCCTCGGATCTCACCTTCCTGAGTAGCTAGGATTATAGGCACGAGCCACTGGTGTCCAGCCTTAAATGCTACTTTCTCTTTGAAAGGTGCCCAGTGACTAGCCTTCTACCCTAGCACTTCTTGTTGTTATGACCGTCTATTCCAGGTGTCTTTGCCTAACTGACTATAGGTGAGGGAAGGAACCATAAATATCCATTCTACTTTGACTCCTTCACACCTGGAATAGTGGCTGGCACTTAGTGGTTACTCAATGAAAATTATTGAAACAGCAACCCCAGGAAGCAGATAAATTGTGCTTTATTGATCTTGCTTTAGGAGCCTAATTTTGTTCCCCTATCCCCATCCTGAGCCCCCCTGCTACACACCCACTTCTGGCAGTATTGATGGAAGCTGTGTGTATATGCCTGGGCTCACAGAGCTGCTGCTCTTTAATGAGCATTCATGCAATTGAAGCCTGACACAGAGGGCTGAAAAAACAGCACTAAATCTTTTATGGACAAACTGCAAATCTGCATGCACAGTCAGACATTTCCCCTGTTGACCCTGAGCTCTGATCACCAGATGTGAGAGGCAGAGCAGAGCATAACACCCACATGCTTTCAAAAGGGAAAAACTCCCAAGTGTACTTCACAGCTGCCACTGTGGGTAACCCAGAAAATCCACATGACCCGAAGGTGATTTTCAGTCCCTCTCCCTTTGCTGACAAGAAAAACATCAGTCTTGGCACTTGCTATCTTTAGTGTCTGAAGCTACAGTAAAAGTATTTCCTCTTCACAATTCATTCTGCATGTGAGAATGGCTTCCTTCTGCCCTTGCATGTGAGACCTAATGACTAAACCTAATGTACAAGCACAGAGTCAAATTGCAGACCCAGAAATTACTTCAGAGGTGGGCTATTGGAGTTCAGCGCTAGGAAGCCCTTGGAGTTGTCTACCTTCTGCTGGGCAGAGAGCAAAGGCTGTTCATCATCCTCAGGCAAGCATGACAGTATCTGCCCATTCTCTTCTGAGGTGAAAGATTTTAAGTTGGAATGAGTCTTTCAAATCTGATAGTTAATGCTCAGAAATGGCTGGAAATGAGGCCTCCACCCATCTGCATCACCCCTCCCCCCTAGATTTTTAATATAGATATTAAACCCTAGAAATGGGAACAAATTATGCATACATCTTTTCATTTTATTTTAAAATATGCACATATCCATGCTTTTAAATGGCCCTTTGGCCTAAGACAATGAAAGAACTTCCATTTGTAATGAGGGACAAGCATTAGATATGCTGACAAAAAAAAAAAAAAAGAATTAATTTGCTTAATATGTCCTTAGAGTCTGGCTTGTGCAGAAAACATGTCCAGGACTGGAAAGCCCTTCTGTTAGGATACTCTCAACATGACATTGAACACAGCAGGTGTGAGCATGGGGCCAGCAGGCCAGAGCTGACATCTTGGGCACATGCTGGCATGTCGCCTGCTCTCCTGCCCTTCCTTCTTCCCATGCGACACACATTCTTTGAGAGTCCACTTGATGGTGTCACTACAATGTGCTTGGGGCAGAGGCAGGGGCTCATGTGGTTGCACAAATGGGAAATGGAGGACACGGAAAAGGAACATTTAGGCCGCATTGAGTGAAGCCAGCCAAATTTGTTTGGAACGCATAACTTAGCTTTCTCCTCTAAAACAAAGAAATTTAAATTGAGAAGATATTTACTTCCACTATTCATTGTGAAAAATTTACAGGAAGCTACTATAACAATCCCAGCTTTTATAATCTATTTCAATGAGCCTCAAACATCTGTGCATCAGAACTTAATAATGTGCTCTGGATTTGACCCGTTTTTACATCCCCACAGTTGGCCACAGCAGTGGAACTTCCTGAGTACTTACAGTCCAACCCTCCCCAAAAGATTTCTTTGAAACATCTTACTGTTCATCGAGAAGTATTTTATATAAAACAAGGACAAGGGCACATGTGTGGATGTGATAGCTACATGAATAAACATCTTACTCTAGCTGAGAAATGCAAAGTAAAAAGAAATGGCTTTCTAAATTAATACAGTTATGTTACAAGAATGGTATAAAACTTGACATGAAGAAGAAATAAAAACTCACCAAAAGCCTTTTTAAAAACCAATCTTTTTGCACAGGCTTTAGGTTTCAGAGGGTGAATTCCCTCAGACTGAGTAATATGTCTGCAGATATTACTGGTTTATAAAACATTTCATGCATTATTTTGCTTAATCTTCCACAGTAAGGGTTCCCCCATGAGGTTAGTTTCTCCCTCAGGCCATCTGGCAGTCTCTGGAGACATTTGATTATCACCATTTGGGAAAAGTTGCCACTGGCAGTTGGGTCAACTATGAGGCCACATTGCATTGTGCCCAGGGTAGCCACCACCACAAAGAAACCCTGGGTCAGTGGTGCAGAAGTGAGAGCCTGACAGTGCCTAGGCATGTTTCTCCAGCTCCTAGGCATGGCACACCTGAGGCTGTGTAAACATAGCATGCAGGGCATCTGGGCAGGGCAGGCATCTGCAGCTTTCACCAGCTCCCAAAGGAGGCTGAAGTCACTGGTCCCTGGAACACCCAGGTTATTCTGCCAGCACAGGGAGTGTTTGCTGTGTCTTACATAGACAGCCTTTCTCAGGGTCTGGGCTAGAGATAGTGGGATTCACTGTTACTGCCTCAGCCCTTTATACCCCAGAAGACCACAGAACTCAGCTGAGCCATGCAGATGTACCCTCTTGAGGATTGGTTATCAGGCCTTGGGACTTCAGACTAGAGTTTCTCTGACAGCTACAAGTTGACAATCAGTTTCAGGTGATTATGCAGGACTAGGATGAGAATGGTCATGTGTCCCACCTCTACGCACAGAAAAGTAAAAGTTTCTGCACTAAGTGAGCCAGGAGAAGGAGAAAAACAATTGCCTGATGAGAGCCACATGACCCCAAGTCTCCCCTGAGGCTCCAGCTGTACTTCCTGTCTAGAATTCACTGTATTGCTACCCTCTAGATCCTGAAATTATATTCCTTTTCTCCCCACTGCTTAAACTAAGGAGTTTTGTTTTGTTTTTACGTAAAACATTAGATTCCTAGAGCAGAGTGCTGGTGGGTTAGCCTGTAATCCTAGATGAGATCTGAGGATTGTGGTTCAAAGCCAGCCTGGGCAGGAGAGCCCATGAGACTCTTATCTCCAATTAATCACCAAAAACTAGGAGTGGAGCTGTGGCTCAAGTAGTAGAGCACCAACCTTGAGCAAGGAAACTAAGGGACAGTGTCTAGGTCCTCAGTTCAAGCCCCAGGACCAGCACCTTAAAAAAAAAAAGGGGGATTCCTAGGCCAAGGGTATGGCTCAGTAGTAGAGTGATCGTCTTCTCACAGGCCCTAGGTTCATCCCCACCCACATTTCCCACAAAACAAAACAAACCTGACTCCTGAACAAAATATGCTCATAATGACGGTGTGCAACTCTAAAACATATAACTATGGCTCAGAGATTAAGTGACTTGCCCAGTCATTCTTTGTTTCTGAACCATGTACTTCTTAAACTAAACAGGCTGCCCATTAACAATCCCATAATAGGTATGCTGGACATGATGACTCATTCCCAGCTGATAGACAGGTAGAGATTGGGAAGATCATGGTTTAAAGCCAATCGGGGAAAAAGTTAGTGAGACTATGTATCTCAAAAAAAGTTGGCTATGGTGGTTCACACTTGTGATCTCAGCTACAGTGCAGCAAAGATAAGAGGATCCTAGTTCAAGGCTGGTGTAGGACAAAAGCATGAGACTCTATCTGAAAAAACAAAAACCCAACAACTAAAGACATAAGAGTTAGGGACATGGCTCAATAGGTAGATTCTTTGCCTAGTAAGTGCAAGGCCCTGAATTCAAACCCCAGTAACACACAACACACACACACACACACACACACACACACACATATACACACACACGCACACACACACACACTAAACCTCACAAATTACACCATATCTCACAGGAAATAACACACCTTAAAGTTCTAGTTGTTATCCCAATTTAGCCAATCTTCATCTCACCAAGGAAATACCCACAACTTGGATTTAGCAGTGATTTCCTAAATGACCCCCAAATCCCAACAATAAAACTAAAAGTAAACTAAACTTTATCAGAACTAAAAAAACAAAAATGCCAAAATCTCCAAACAAAAACTTTGTCCATTAAAGGTCACTACCAAGAGAGGGAAAGGACAATACACAGCATGAGGCAAGGCATTTGTGAACTGTACACTTGATAATGGGCTATCTAGGACAAATGAAGAACTCTTAAAACCCACCAAAAACCAATTAAACCTATTAAAAATGGCATTGAACTTGAAGGTATTTCTCAATACAAGATATACAAGTGGCTAATAAACACATGAAAGTTAGCATCAGTAGTCAATAGGAAGTGAAAATCAAAACCACCAAGAAATATCACCTTATATCCATTTGAATGATAGAAGGCATTAAAAAAATAATAACCCGTGTTGGTAAGGCAGACAGAAGTTGTGCCCCATGTACTGCTGCTAGGAAAGTAAAATGACATTGTCATAATGGAAAACAATATGGAGATTCCTCAAATAACTAAACATAAAATCATCTTATGACCCACTGAATCTACTTCTAGCTATTACCCAGAAGAACTGAAACCAAATCTCACAGACACCTGTGCTCCCATGCTCACTGCAGAATCTGCTAGGTAGGCACTCTACCACTGAGCCTCCTCTAAAATTCTAGCTAATTAGAGGCTGAGATGTTTGGGAATTGCAGCTCACGACTAGCCTGGTGAGTGAAACAGTTTGTGAGACCCTTTTTCAACGAAGAGCTGGATGTGGTGGCTTGGGTCTCTTATCCTAGCTATAGGGAAGTGCAACACAGGAGAAAAGCACCCGGGGAACAGCCAGGGCAGAAAGCATCTCAAAAATAACCCATCTCAAAAATAAGAAACAAAAATCAGAGGTGGAGAGGTTGCTCAGTGGTAAGAATGCCCCCGGACGTTCAAACTCTAGTACCACCATATATATACTGTGTACGTACATGTACTGCACATTCTCTCAATTTCTCTTCCTTCATTTGGCCTTAAAAATACCTATCAAAAGTTAAGTTAAACTAGGTTAAATAGAGACCAAATGAATCAAGAAGATAACTTGAGATGATGGGGTGAGGTTGGGAGAGATAGGAAGAATGATGGAAAGGGCAACATTGATTAAGATGAATTGTACTCATAAACTGACATGTTGACTTGAATCCCCTTTGTACAACTACTTAAAGATAATAGAAATTTTATAAATAAATAAGAAGGTAAGTAATTTTTGACAGTTTACCACCACAAACTGCTGCCAAGTGTTCCAAGCAAAGATTGACTCCAAAGCATTCCAGTTCAACCTTACAGCCCTACTCCAGTGCAGACAGATAAAACCAAGAAACCATTCAGAACACTCCAGATTCAATGAATTTCACTCTTTCCTCATATATTTGAGATTTTTAATGGAAGTTAAGGGGCCCTCAGGCCAATAGGGCAATGGGATGAGAGGCAACAAGCAGGTGCCTAACAGCTGCCAATCTTAAGCATTTCTTCACCGCAGCCCTCACAATTCTACAAGTGTGTGGATCAGACTAAGAATGGACATCCAGATTGAGAGCAACAAGTCTGGGGCCTCATGAGCCCTCAGGGATATCTTCTTCCAGAACGAAATGCTGATACTTTTCCTTCTCTGGGAAAAGATTTTTGAGAAGTGCAGTTCTTAAAAAAAAACATTTTGAACAGCTTAAATTAAAAAAAAATCTCAAGGGGAAATTCCATTTCTAATGACAGCCTCATGTGCCGTAGTAGTAAACTGGATGCACACACCACACTGTGTCCAGGCTCTAGACAGAGTGGTCTAACACTGGGAACCTGTGCTCCAACCTGGCCCCAGCTGACAGACACCAGCTGGAATGAACAAATGGAAAAACCCAAGTGCCAGTCACCAGCATGCTGAAACTGAAGAATTC